TGAACAACACTTTTAACAAAAAGTTTACCAAATGCCAAACTGCTTTATTTCACAGCTGATTTTTCTCACAGCAAATTTGACAGCGATTATTTTCACAGCACAGCAATGCCAAACTGGTCCTTAGTAAATAGAAATTAATTATTTTGTGGACTTTTCCTATAATTTTTTATATTAAATAACAATTAAAATATAATTACTAATTAAAGTAATTCAAAAAGAATAAGATATTACTTAATTACATATATTAAATTAAAGAAGTAGGCCAAAAAACAAAAGTAAAGAAACTAATTATATATGTTTAAAAAAAAAAAGGAATTAAAGTTTAGTTTTAAACCGTATAGCCGCTCGGCTATACTATTTATATATTAAAAAAGGACGTGGCCAGCGCCTAGATGCCAGTGCCACGTGTCAAAACAGTTTTCAAAAAAGGAAAAACGAGTAAAAAATTTAAAAAGATTATACTATTTTTTGTTTTAAAGATTTAAAAAAGGAGTACAGCCGGGAGGCTATACTATTCTTAAAGACAATTGGGGTAAAGCTGAATTACAATTAAAATATAATTACTAATTAAAGTGATTCAAAAAGGCTAAGATATTACTTAATTACATATATTAAATTAAAGAAGTTGGCCAAAAGACAAAAGTAAAGAAATTAATTATATGTTTTAAAATTTTTTTTTTTTAAAAAAAACCTCTCTCAACGAAAGTTCGTCGGCACAGGTCTATGCCGGCGAAATTCCACAGATAAAATTTTCTTTTTAAAGGCTATAGCCGCGCGGCTATACTATTTATATATTAAAATATAGAAGTAGACCAAAAAACAAAAGTAAAGAAACTAATCATATGTCTTTAATTTTTTTTTTTTTAAAATACCTCACCCGAAAAAAGTTCGTCATCACAGGTCAATGCCTGCGAAATTCCCTGGATAAAATTTTCTTTTTAAGGGTTATAGTCGCGCGGCTATACTATTTATATTTTCGAGCCCAGTGCGTAGGTGCCTCGTGTCAAAACAGTAAAGTTGCGCGGCTATACTATGTTTAAAAAAAAAAGGAAAGAGGAGTATCGCCACACAACTATACTATTTCTTTAAAAAAAAAGTCAAAAAAATCTTATTGAGACCCGCCCGGCGCCTATGTGCCATGTGTCAACAGAGTAAAGCCGTCCGGCTATAATATTTTCTTTTAATTTGAAAAAAAACAACGTGGCTATACTATTTCTTATTGGATTGGTACACTACATCACAGAACACCCTAAAATCAATCATAAACCAGATTTATCTTTTTACATGAATTCATGCCCTCTTTTCAGATTTTGGGTTTGCATCAAAATCTTTAATTTCATAAGCTTTTGTGGGAGTAGATTTGCTAGCTCCTTCAATTCAGAGCTTGATTCTTGTAAATCCTTGTGATTTTCTTTATTTATTTCTTATTGGATTGAGCTTGTTGCCCTCCAAATTTGTTCTATCATCTCATGAAAGTTTTATGGGTTCCTTTTTTTTTTTTTGGGTAAAATGAAAATGTTCCACACTTATTTTACAGAACGAGTGATTTTCTTTATTTATCTCCCCCTGCATCCATGATTCTTGTTTTTCCTATTGACCTTTATTTAAACTAGAAAACTCAATTTTTTCATATTGACCTTTATTTGCACTAGAAAACTCATATTGGGAATTGCAGTGATGAGTGGAACTTGTGATGCGATTACAGAAAGGATGAAGAGCATGCAATTAGCAGAGAAACAAAACTGTTAATGTATGTGAACAACAACGTAAGCCAAGGTGTTTCTAGTCAGAGTCCTCGTGCATAAGAGAATCCCTTCCAGCGTGGGGTTCTCCCTATGGATGAGAGGTCATTATCTTGGATTCAAGCCCGAATGGAGAGACCAAAAAATGGGACCCCCAAAACCTTCTCTACGTTTGATTAGGACTGAATATGATGGGTAGGGTGTACTTATTAAAATTACATTTGTTTCACAATTCAACATATCCTTTTTGGTCATTTTATATTAGGATAAATTAGTAATTCAATAAATAGGTTGATAGTATGGTGTACTAAGTTAATCTTAGGGTTCATTTAGCAACACTCTTATTTAAAGAGTTAGATAGGATTGGGGACATATTTGACATTTTATTGTTAGTATCTTAGCTTGAGAAAAATGTTTTCAAACTATTGATCTCATGGGTATTTTCATGCACATGTTTGGGCCGAAACTTAGAGGGGTGTATTCAATTAAGATTTTAAAAGAGTTTAAAAGTTTGGGTGTATTCAATTCAGATTTCAATTGACATTAAAAAAAATACATCGAAATCTAGGTATATTCAATTATGACTTTTTAAAAGTCAAACAAAATTTAGGTGTATTCAAAAAGTAATTTATTTTGAAGGAATTAATGAGTTGCTCGATTTCGTTAGAAATTAAAGTGGTAAGTATAGATACAAAACAAAAGGCCTTGACAAATCTTATGTCAACCCTAGACACTTTGAACGTGCTCTATGCTTTCCAGTCCTTAAATGTGTGTGCTTGTCAAGTGGAGGGAAAAAAACTCCTCTCTTTTTCTACGTTTTCATACATGTATGATCTTTCATCGTGTGTTTGAATATTTGTTGTTGCTATATATCGATGTACATCATAATATGAACAGTTGCTGCTTGAATAGTTGTTGTTCTTGCCATCATCATATATAGATGAACATCAACTTATTTTTTGCTGTAAATATTTGCTACTATACATCAAACAAGTTTTATTTTTCTACGCTTTTTCAACTTTTCCCTTCTTTTTTTTTTGGTTGCTGTTAATTTTTTTTTATTTTTTTTTGTACCTCATATCATATATATGATAGCCTTCGTCATCAATCTATTGAAGAAGACAACGAGCATATCAACATCGTCATCATTACCAGAAAATGAGGGAAATAATTATGACCAAGTTTTTCAAATCCAAGAACAACAACGCGAGAATGCTAACCCATGGGTTGGGATATCTTCAAATATGTAGAGAGATGCTATGAATGACGAGAGTCAAAGATGAGCAATGAAGCAAATACTTATTCGTTTTTATGCATTTAGAATGATAGTTTACTTATCATTTTTTTTGGTCAATAAATTACTTCTATTTTTTAACTTTTGCGTATTTTTCATAAACATGCAGACATATATCCTTATTTGGTTGCACATTTGAACAAAATAGATGCCCTTTTTTTTTTAATTTTCTTTGGATGTATATGGTTTGGACGTTCTTTACAAAATGTTTTTGTAAAGGTAATTTTCTCTTTTGAAAATCTAGAAAAACAATAAACAACCCAAAAAAAAAAAAACCAGTTTAAAACTCTAATCAACTCTTTTAAAATCTATTAAAATCAATCTATTAAAATCTATTAAAACTCTAACAAACACCATTAAAATCAATCTACGAATTCAATCAAACTCCATTGAAATATATTGAACTCTATAAACTTTATAACTCCATTTAACTCTTTTAAAATCTTAATTGAATACACCCCCCTAAGTAAAACCACCAAAAAAAACAAAAAAACAAAAACAAAACAAAACAAAAACAAAAACAAAAAATTTCATGACCTTATAGTTATGTAAGATATTTTGAAGATGTAAACTGAGTATAGGTGGTGGATCGTCAATATACGGTGTATACCTCACATTGTGTATAAGTGGATAAAAACAGAATGAAATATGTTTGGTAAAAAGGATTCGAATGGCCATCAAGCTGCACACTCGTACTCTGCAAATCTAGATTGCCTGCATAATATATCACTCATAATTTCTATTAGAGAGATTGGGATTGGTAGGGGAAGATGACGAGCCAAGCATGTGGTAAACATGTGCACAGACATTTCCTTCCAAATATGAGGATTGAAACGACAGGGTAAACATGTGCACAGAGACATTTCCTTCCAAATTTGAGGATGGATGATGGATGGATGATGATATATTGGATGTGAAAGACAGGTGAATCTGTACATTTCATAAATAAAAAAAGGCAAACTTGTGGTGCAATGAAACTTTAATGCCCACAAAAATAATCACTATAATCTAACCATTTGTCCAAACAACATAACTAACAATACAAGATAAATAACTCTGAAACCCCAATAGGATGCTATATAATTATAGATAAATGAGGGGCTGCTCCTGTTTTTTTTATTGCACATAGAAGTTTTTCCCTTTCAACTTTGAATTATATGCATCTGCTTCCAGGACATGCAAAGAATGATTTGGCTTATCTAATGGAAAACTAACTTGTCTAAAGTGTATATGGTACAGAATTACGAATCATGCGGCTGCAGACTGTTTGTCTTCATGGTCTTCCAGATTCAAAGCCTGAAGCAGCTTTGGCCAGGATTCAGGAATCCCTCCAGGAAGATCAAACTCTAACAATTTTCCTCGACTGCGGTAGAACCCCTCCACGGGTTTACTCTGCAAGGACAACGTGATATGTGAAGCACAGATTACAAATTGAACCAAAATTAAAGACTGTTGTTACAAAAAGACCAATGACATAAACAAGTCTTGATTGGCCAGTGTCCAAATGTGAACTCACGACAACAAGGAGAAGGGCCCAGAAGCTGAAGGTTTGAGTCTTGCTGAAATGGCCCTATATCTTTCTAGGGTAATGTACCTTGGAAAGGAAAAACACAAAAGAAGAGCTTCTCTTGGAGGACAAAGGAAAAGAAAACAAAACAAGATAAACAATACAGGAAAGAGGCATGGACTAACAACATTCAAGGGTGCTCAGCATCCCCGATTAACATCTCTAACTAATCAACTGATATGCTAGCTGTAGAATGTAATAATATAAACAAGGCTGAATGCCCAATTTGCACTAGCACTCGTCTTTAATTCTAGGCAAGTACTACTACTAAGAAGTCAGAATTGTAACTACTAAGAAGAATAACTGCACGACCATTTGCAGAAGATGCAAGTAATTGAGCTTGAAATCCACCCACTATTAGCACATATATCCATCATGGCCTGGATGATTAGCATACTTTGATCCAGTACAGACTTCAAGTCTGTGACGTAGTCCCTGATTGGTAATCCTAACTGTGAGAAATGTGCCTGAATGCAGAATTCATGCATGGTAAGAGAATGGAACGATGAGAGAACTAAAAAGGAAAACGACATGAAGTTTTTATTCGAAAATCATATAGTTGAAGACAACTCTGACCTGAAATAGCAGGTTGGCTTTGACATGTGGATCATCTAAGCGGTCCTTATCCACTTTATATCAAACTCAAGTTCAGTATTGTCCAAGCCGTAGTAAGCTGGATTAAACATCTGCAGAAAACTATGCTCATGTAAGATTTTGTACAGGCTCAATAAATCAAATACTAAGGACACAAAATAATAAAAACCGAAGGCTTTTAACTTGTGTCTTCACCACATTTAAGTACAGGAGGATCATTGCCACAGCAGCAATGCAAATGATAGGCGTTCTGAACTTTAACAGAAAAAAAAAGTTAGGTGTAGAGTACTGAAAAAATAAAAAGGAAAATGGTTTATTGATTAGATATAGGACTGCAAGACTTCATCCACTGACTTTATTAGATTTTCTGATATTTAGAACCCCAAACAACCTGATTCCTAGTATTTGAGGCAAATATTCAGAAAGTAATACGA